GGCCCTCCCGTTGATCATCGATTTGCTCGAGCGGGCCCAGTAACGTCTCCATTGGAGACTTTGTTGTTACTGTGTCTGGCATATCGAATACTCTCAGTAGCTTGCCGGGCTCTCCGAGAGGGGCGGAGGAATTGAACTCGGGACGGCCATGTTGGCTGCGTGCAAGGTAAACACCCAACCGCTGGGGGCTGGAGCGATAGCACAGCGGTTGGGTGTTTACCTTGCACGCAGCCAACATGGCCGACCCAAGTTCAATTCCTCCGCCCCTCTCGGAGAGCTCAGCAAGCTACCAAGAGTATCTCGCCCGCACGGCAGAGCCTGGCAAGCTCCCCGTGACGTATGGATATGCCAGACACAGTAACAACAAAGTCTCCAATGGAGACGTTACTGGGCCCGCTCGAGCAAATCGACGAACAACGGGAGGGCCTTTACCTTTACCTTTTACCTATTTCTCCAACTGGAGAGATACTTGGATGGTGCCGGAGAGGTAGGACAGTGTGTTGGGAGCTTGTCTCATACATAGCCAACTGGGTATGATCCCCGACACCCCATAAGGTCCCCCGAAGCCGACCAGAAGTGACCTCTGAGCACAGAGCCAAGAGTCAGCCCTGAGGACTACTGGGTGTGGCCCCCAACGATAAAATAAAATTTAAACTAGGATGTTTCTAAATTGCCAAAGAGCCCTCGGCTAGGGTTATACTGATGCGCGCTTCCCACGTTTGCCCGTGTACCCCGTTCTCATCAGCACCACGCGTGCGTCTTCCCCGGCCTGAAATGACGCGCCACGCTCCTTTCCCGTCCTTGCCACCTGAATCCGTCCCTGACCCCCTGTGCCCCGAGAGTCAGGCTGGGGTGGCTGCCCGGAGTCGGCGGCCAGTTCGTGAGCCTGCGGTTCTCCTGCGACCGTTGTGATGATGAATGGAGACGCTCGAGCTACAGAGCTGTCAGCGAAATAGCAAATTCACTTTCAGTTTTTAGAGATTAAAAGAAAAAGGGAAATCAATGTAATGGATTGCTCTCTCGGCCAGGAAATGGCATTGTTCATGGTGCCGTTTCTTCCGCCATGGCCCTGTCGTATCCCTGGCACCATTGTTTTCCATTAATTTAAATAGTCTCTCTGCGGGAACAAAGAGCTGGTAGTGCGTGAGGCGCAGAACTAGTGTGGACCAGCCACACACTCACACACATACATACACACTCTCACACATACATAACACACACTCACACATTCATAACACACACTCACACATACATAACACACACACATACATACACACTCACACATACATACACACACTCACACATACATAACACACACTCACACATACATAACACACACACATACATACACACTCTCACATACATACACACACTCACACATACACACATACATAACACACAATTCACAGACACACATACACACACACATACACACACATACATACACTCACAAACTCACACTCACACATACTTACACTCACACTCACACACACACACACACACACTCATACACATACAGCACCACTTCTCTATTGAAAGAACAGAGAGGGTCAACGACCGAGTAAAGACCTAATTCTAACTCTGAATTACGGCATAGACGAAAATGACGGGGTCTGTCCGTTAGCACCCCCACCTCCACCTCCTCTTCTCTGGACATTCGGACCCCACGTGTGAACATCCGAGGCTTGCAGACGGGAGGAAGCCAAGCCCACAGCCCCCCACCCCAGTCCCCCACCCCCAGGGGCCGTGTATTGCTATCCGTCACTGTGGCTGGCGACCCAGAGATTCCCTGGAGGACCCTCGGTCCTGGCTGCATGGCAGGGGAGACTCCCTCACCAGCTGCTGGGAAGGAAGCAGAGTGCAGGATTGAGGGCTGGGGCCAGAGCACCACGGAGAGGGCACTTGTCTTGCACGCGGCCCACCCGGCTTTGTGTCCCAGCACCCAGTAAGGTCCCCTGAGCCCACCAGGAGTGATCCCTGAGTGCAGAGCCCAGAATAAGCCCTGAGCACTGCCAGGGGTGGGCCGAAAAGATGCAAAAGATGCAGGGATGAGCCAGCTCCTGGGCTCGGGCACCCAGCGCTGTGTCCTGTGGTCCCCACTGACATTCTGTCACTCGGAGATGCGGCCCCCAGAAGGAAGTAAGTTCTTTTTTATAAAATAAAATTTTAAAAAAAAAAGACCTAAAGGTTATCTCAGATAAGTAGAAGGAAGGTTTTGCACATAGATGTGCTACATCCTGGGAGTTGTTTACAAGGGCTCTTTTGAGTGCTAGCATCTAATTTAAAATGATTAACAATGACTGGGCTGGAGCAACAGCACAGTGGGTAGGGCGTTTGCCTTGCATGCAGCCGACCTGGATTAGATTCCTTAGTCCCTCTCTGAGAGCCCGGCAAGCTACTGAGAGTATCCCGCCCCCACGGCAGAGCCGGGCAAGCTGTCCATGGCGTATCTGATATGCCAAAAACAGTCACAAGTCTCACAATGGAGACCTTTTTTGCCCGCTGGAGCAAATCGATGAACAATGGGAGGACAGTACTACAGTGCTAACAGTGACTGTGACAGCGGGGACAGGAGTGATAGGACCATGGGTGGGGTGCTTGTCTTGTGGCCAACCTGGGTTCCATCCCCAGCACTTAAGTCCGAGCACTGCCTGATGCAGTGCAAAAATAAACAAACAAGGAAAATACAGCCTGTGAGGGAAGGACTGAGAGCAGAAGTTAAGAAAAAAGAAACCCAAGCTGTTAAAACCCACTAATATCGAGGAAGCGACTTCTAATAAACCAAAATTTCTCTATCAGGAGCTTACTACCCCTTCCTGTTGAGGGAGGCCGGCAGCTCACTGCCATGGCAGGTACCAGCATGGAAACATGATCCCAGAACACTGCACCTGGCCCCTTCCTGCCTTTTGGCTGTGCCAGACCCCCCGCCCTGGCACACAGCTGCTGTTCCCCGGGTCCCGCAGTGGCCTCCACGTCCACGTAGGATCTCGGAAGGCTCAGGACATGGGTTTGCCGGCCTCATGGCCCCAGCCCCGGTCACGGCGGGTGTCCTGAGAAGGCCTCCCCTTGCTCTGAGGGTATTGGTGTCCCTGACCCCGAGAAACGCAGGTGCTGGGGGGAGGTGGGCCCGTGGCAGTTGAGGCAAGTGCTGGGACTATGCAGGTGTGTGTGCAGACATGGGGGAGAGTGGGTTAGGCTGGCACATCACACTCATCAGCCCTACTGCAACAGTGGCACGCATGGGCGCTCTGGAATCCTGGAGCTAGACATACCCAGCTGTGATGTTGGCAGGACAAGAGAGTCTGGGTGGTAGCCGCGGAGTCAGCAGGGGGCTCCGCAGAGCTGCCACACACTTAGGGTGGTTGGTCAGCGTGGCTGGGAGCTCTGGACACATGATGGGGAAGGACAGGACCAGTGGGAACAGAGTCAGTCTCTCTCTGTCTCTCTCTCTCTGTCCTTCCCTCCCTCCCTCCCGCCCTCCCTCTTTTTTCTCTCTCCCTTCCTTTTCTCTCTCTCCCTCTCTCTCCCTCCCTCCTCTCTCTCACCCTCTCTCCTTCCTTCCCTCCCTACTCTCTCTCCATCTCTTTCTCCCTCCCTCCCTACTCTCTCTCCCTCTCTCTCCTTTCTCTCTCTCTCTCTCTCTCTCTCTCTCTCTCTCTGCATCATTCCTGCCTCCCCTAGTGTGGACAGGTCTCTGCCCAATGCCAGTCCGATGCCAGGCAGAGAGGCAGAGACACAGGCAGGTGCTGGGCAAGTGAGTCTTGTCTCTCCCGGTCACCACAACACAGAGCCGCCGCCATACACCTCTGAATTTTGTGAACCAAGTATGAATTCAGCTCAACTTCAGCTTTAGAAGCGACTCACTTGAACTGGAAGAAGCCACGTTAAGAACCTTATGTGTCCCTGGGGCTGGAGCAGTCGTAAAGAGGGAGGGCGTTGGCCTTGCACACAGCTGACCCAGTTCCGATCCTGGCATCCCATGTTAGCAGTCAACTCCCCTGAGCACCACCAGGAATAACCCTTGAGCATCACCAGGTGTGACCCTCAAAACAAAACAAAACAAAAAAACTTCTATATAGTCTCATTTTTTTTTTACGTATTCTTGGGTATTACCTAGTCACAGGCATTACTAACACACATTTCAGAAACAAATTGATTGTAAATGCTGACAAGGACCCCAAAATCTAAGGTGATTTATAAACTTTTTTTTCTTATTGATAACAGACTTTTGAGTTTTTAAAACAGTCATCTCTTGAGAGGTAAGGAGAAAAAGGAAAGAATATTGATGCATTTCTAATTTTATTTCATTCATCCGCCAAGCCTATGAGACTTCTGAAAATGAAAAAATAACTCAAAAATCAAAGTTTATGTAAAGGGACTCGAGATTCATCCCCGGGTTCAGAATAATTCACCTCACAGTAAAGGCCTTTTCTCTTGACTTGGTCATTCCCCATTCACTTCTGCTTTGAGTTTGGGCCACGCCCAGTGATGCTCAGGGGAGACTCCAAGGCTCTTGTGCCCCGGGGGGCTCTAGGCAGTGCTCCGGGTGTGGGGACCAGACCTCCTGCATGCACAGCATGTGGTCCAGCCCCTGAGTCATCTCTCTGGCTCCGTGTTTACTCCTACTTTTTGAAAAACTTTTTATCAAAGAAGGATAACGCATACCCATCAACATAAAGTAAGCTCATCCAAATGATACACCAGTGGCTTTATTTTTTGTGCTGATTTTACGGGCACATTTGTATAATCAACATCCAGATAAAAGTAGATTTTTTGCGGTGCCCTTGACTGGTTTTCCTCCGACCGTCCGTGCTTCCCAGTTCTGCCCCCTGCACCTTCGTGTGTTTCCTTCTGTGTCCAGAGAGTCTCTCTGGGCTCCCACCGGAGGAGGTGAGCGTTGGCAGTCAACTCCAGATGTTTGCCCCCATCGCCCGCGACCCGCTGCTGCGTTCACTCACGTTCCCTTTCTCTTTCCTTTTTTGGCTCTTCCCCTGAAACAGGTAATCAGATCCTGTCTCTCGGGACTCTCTCGAAAGCTCAGATTTACCCGATGAAACTCAAGGGCATCTCCATCTGCTGTTCGGCTCTCAAGTCGGCCCTGTGCGGGAATTATGTCAGCTTTGGCGTCTTCAAGTTGTACGGGGACGACCACTTTGACAACGTCCTTCAGGCCTTTGTCAAAATGCTGCTGTCGGTGTCCCATAGCGACCTGCTGGTAAGCGGCCTGGCACGGCGCGGGAGTGCTTGTGTGCGACGACGTGGAGTGACACGGCCGTCCTGGGACTCCGAGAGAGTGTCGCGGCAGAGTGAGCATGGGGGAGCTGGCGTCGCGGCGGTAACAGCGGCGGCGGCTGTGGCGTCTTGGATGTCACGTGCCACCACGGTGGCTGCATTTCTCATGTTCCCTGTGGCAGGTCTGGAAACGGCAGCTGCCACCTGCCGACACGTGGGTCATGTGCCTTGTGAAACCGCGGTGCAGGGTTCACTACCGACTGCTTCCGGGTACACGCGACAAGTCGGAGCAGGGCTGCGTGTCCCTGGGCTGAGAAGAGGCGGCCGGAGCTCGGCTTCCTTCCGTGCCAAGGGCCGGGCTGGACCAAACGCCGAGCGAGCAGCCTGTAGCACCCTTCACATAAATCAGCATCTATTTCTCCAGGCTTCAATTGCCTCACCTTTTCAGACGAATAAATTAAACCAAGTGATCTCCAGGCCCCTTTCTTCCTCTGCCACCTCGTTTCCCTGATTGATGTCAGCGGTTTTCCAACTCGGAAGCCCAGCAGAAAGCGCCCAGAGGTGCTGGCAGAACCTTCCCGTCCCCAGACTGCTCCGCAGGGTCGGGTCATAGCCAGACGTCCTCAGGCGCCCCTGCCTGGTGACACAGAACCCCCGATGCCTGCCTTGGCGGCTGCGGCCACTGCCTCAGTAACGCCGCCCAGTTCATGGCCAGGCCTAGGTGAGGCTATCCCTCCCGCTTCCACCCCTCGGTTACTAGAAAGATCCGGGGCCCCTGTGCATGAGTCCATTTCGTGCAGGAAGTGCTCCTTGATGGGTTAATGGACTCGTGGTGCCTGGTCGGCCTCTCCAAACCCACCTACGTCCAGCATCTCCCGTCCAAGGAAGTAGCCACTGCAGGGGAACCTAAAAGTAACCCTGGGGACAGATGATAGAGACAGACAGACAGAGAGAGAGAGAGAGAGAGAGAGAGAGAGAGAGAGAGAGAGAGAGCCTGAACAGCCCGGGTCCACCAGAGCTCCCGTGTGCTTCCAGAAATCCCTCTCATCTTATTTTCCTAACAAGTATAACTTCTAATTCAGTCATTGTCTGAGTCAAGACCAGGACGGCCTTTGTGTCTGTGTTTTTTAAAAAATACCACATTTCCGGAGCTGAGCAGCTTTTCGTTGGGTCAGGGTGGAGTGGGAATGGGGGACGGTGTCCTTGGCTGGCAGGCGGACTTCATCTCACTCTGCAGAACGCCACTGCTGGAGCTCAGGGTTTGCAGGCGGGAGCCCCCGGCTGAGCCCCCGGCACCCGGTGGTCTCCCCACAGTCACGCTGGGGTAGCTCCGCGTGCATCTTCCTGCTCTTACTTACACTTGTTCTTCTTCTTTAATATTGGTTCGCCTTTCACTTGAGGCCTTTGAAGGTATGTCTCTCATGCATTGAACTGTTGCCTAGTGTGTGTGGTAAAATAAATACGAATCCATTTACCGAACTGCAATTTAGTTACGTGGCGCTTAGTTGGCATTATATGAAGCCAACATGCTCTGATGCTAAATCCTATTATAACAGAAAATGTCTTTGCATTTTTTTTTCCAAAGGTGCAGAGCCACTCTTTAGCATTGCTGTAGTCCTGAAAAAGAATTCCATCTTCTAAATTCTGTATTCTGCAGAGACAGTAGTTGCATTTAAGTGTTAAATCATCTAAGGGAAAAAAAAAAACAGAAGCGACCTATTACACTGCAGCTCAAATTGGGATTTCTAGAGCTCGAGATTGCTTTCAGAACCTCTGAGTGCCAAGTTGAGACTCGCTGTGTGGTCCGCTGCCCATCTTTGTCCTCTGTATTTATGTTTAAGTAAGTCTACAACCAGGCACAGTTGCCCAGACCGCAATTTCCGCTGCGCTGTAACAATGTCCTCTGCTTCCCGGTGTCCTGACACTTAGTATCTCTGTGTTGTAGCAATATCGGAAACTGAGCCGCTCTTATTATCCTCTCCTGGAATGTCTCGCTCAGGACCACATGAGCTTCATCACCAGCTTAGAGCCGCCAGCGCTGCTGTTCGTCCTCACATCCATCTCCGAGGGACTCGCGGCGCTCGGTAAGGATGGCGCAGGGCGTTGCTTCCCCAGAGCCGCTCAGTGGTGCCCTCCTGGCGCTGGTCCGGCCGAGCATCCGAGGGAAGGCGGTTTTTCTGCCTCCTCTGTACGGCTGGGTCATGACTGTTGCTCCCATGTAGGCAATCGGTTTCTCCTATTTTCCTGGCTTATTTTGAAGTGAACGAAGAGGAAGAGGCTCAGGGCTGCTTTTGTCCCAGGGTTCTAGAGGACGCCTGAGGCTTTGCACGGCGAAAGCCAAATCCCGGGTTCGAATACTGGCGGGCAAACTGACAGTGCTGGAGCGATACCACAGCGGGTAGGGCGTTAGCCTTGCAAGTGGCCAACATGGCCAACCCGAGTTCGATTCCTCCGCCCCTCTCGGAGAGCCCGGCAAGCTACCGAGAGTATCTCGCCTGCATGGCAAAGCCTGGCAAGCTCCCCGTGACGGATTCGATATGCCAAAAACAGTAACAACAAGTGTCACAATTTGTTGTGAGATGTTACTGGTGCCCACTCGAGCAAATCGATGAATAACGGGAGGACAGCACTTCAGTACTACATTTTGAAGTGAGCCTCATGGCAGTCTATCTTCCCTAGAGTTGAGTCCTTTGATTTTAAGTGGGCAAGCTCGAGGCGCCCTAATCCAATGGAATTAAGCATAGGAACACTTAGTATGCTTACACCCCTCGCTGCATCTTCCCCGTCTATCATTCTGAAGTGGCCCTCTCTCGCTACGGCACTACTCTTTCTTCTGAAATCTACTTCGATTGTTACTCTCCTTTCTTAGCTTTTTTTTTTTTTTGGTGTAGCCCTCTTTTTTCATCACGATCACGACCATCCTGTTGTTCGTCGATTGCCTCGAGCAGGCCCCAGTAACGTCTCCTTCGTCCTAGCCCTGAGATTTTTTAAAAAGTGCCATATTCAAGGCTCTTTCAGGGTTGGAGAATGAGACCCATCATTGTTACTGGTATTTGGCATATTGGGTACGCCACGGGGAGTTTGCCAGACTCTGCCGTGTGGGCAGGTTACATTCGGTAGCCTGCCAGTTTGTCCAAAGTAGGAATGAGATAATAAGATGTCACAATAAGATGTCGCACGGCCACATTTGTGAGCTGGGCGCTGGGTTTTATAGTCTCTGAGTCTTGGCCGTTGATGGGATTACACAGCACCAGGGGGGCAGTTGGTGGGTGTGACCCCTGCCTACTGGAATATGGAGGATCTTGGAGAGCTCAGCCCCGGGACCCGCATGCCTTTGTTCCTCGGCCGGTAACTTCATGCGTGCGGAGAGTGGTCTCAGCATGGTGGCTGGTTCTGGAGGTCTTCGGCTGCCGGAACCCTGGTCGGGACGGGGAGGGAAACTCAACCCGCTCCCCTCCAAGGGGCCCCGGCGAGGACAGCCAGGCACGGGGACAGGAGACTCTGCGCTGTTCTCTTCACACCCTTTTTTCATCATTTCACTTTTATTTTATTTTGTTCTTATGAAGTGGTTTACAGTATTTGATTACATTTAATATTCGAACACCAATCCCACCCCATTACACCTTCTCACCACCATATTTCAAATGTTTCCATCCCGAACCCCAAACCTTGCCCCGAATGCAGAATCAAAATGATTTATTTTGTATTGCTTGTTATGAATAATCGGCTAAAAAATGATCCAAAAAAGGTTTATCAGAGGAAAGAGTGTAAAGATTGTTGTATTTCACCCAGGAGCCATTAAGCCCTTCTATAAAAGATTAGTAACATGTTGTTGAAGGTTGAGACTTGTGTGCTTATATCTATCACTGTATCACTGTCATCCTGTTGTTCATCGATTTCCTTGAGCAGGCACCAGTAACGTCTCCTTCGTCCTAGCCCTGAGATTTTCAAAAGTGCCACATTTGAGGCTCCTTCAGGGTCAGGGGAATGGGACCCATCATTGTTACTGGGTTTTGGCATATTGAATATGCCACAGGGAGTTTGCCAGACTCTGCTGTGCTTATATCTATAGCTGAATACATATATTTCCTCCCAAGATTGGTTGCCTTCTACTTTAAATCCCATCAAATGTGGTGTGCTACTCTTGGTATATCAGTGGTATAAAATACGAGATGTCACAAATACATTCACTCATAGGTGAGGCTCATCCAAGTATGTGGAGAGCAGCCGTGAACATGGCGGCGTTTGAGTTCTGGGGGTTTTGGGCTGCCAGGTCTGGCTCCGTTGGGGCAGGGAAGGGACCTCACCTACCTGCCTCTGACTTTGCCCCAGATGAAGCAGCCTGGCGTGGGGTCTGTAGGCATATCTATGGCGTATCATCATTTCACTTTTTTTTTCTTTTTTGGGGGTCACACCCAGCAATGCTCAGGGGTTACTCCTGGCTCTGCACTTAGGAATTACTCCTGACGGTGCTCTGGGGACCCTATGGGATGGAAATTGAACCTGGGTCAGCGCATGCAAGGCAAACACCCTACCCGCTGTGCTATTGCTCCAGCCCTCCTACCTTTAATCTTTCTATATTCTCTGGTGTCGTTGATTGTGTGTGTGTGTGTGTGTGTGTGTGTGTGTGTGTGTGGTGTATGTGTGTTAGGTTTTTTTTTATTTTTGCTGTTGTAGTAAATTTTTACTATCTTGGTGGCTTAAAGCAATCTGCATTTATTATCTTAGTGTTCTTTTAGGTCACAAATCTGAGCTGGGTCTCCAAGAATCAGTGGGCTGCATTCCTTCTAGGAAGGGGTCAGGGGATCCTTGTCTTCCCCGGCTGCTACCGACCACCTCAGCCCCTTGGCTTTGCCCCCCATGCCCCATCTGCCAAGCCAGCAGCAGCGTGCCTGTCCAACCTTCCATCCTCAGATGCAGTACCCTCTGCTCCTTCCCTTTGAAGGACTCTTGAGACTATGTAAGACATAGCCAGGTCATCCTGGATGACCTATTTTTGTTTGTTCGTTTGTTTGTGGGTTGGGGACACACCCAGTAAAGCTCAGAAGCTACTCCAGCTCATTGCTCTAGGGTCACTTCCAGTGGTGGTGGGATTGAACCTCAGCTTCCTGCCTGCAAACCATGTGCTCTACCTCTGAGCTGTCTCCCAGTCCAATCTCCCTATTTCTGTCCAGCTGGTTTGCACCTTCTGTTCTCAGCCGTGCAGCCAAACACATCCACAGACTGAGGGAATGTCTACAGACGTAGCTGCCTGACATTAGAGCTTGCAGTGGGGGCCCACATTCCCATCAGGGCTGACTGCTCTGCCTTCTCATTTATGTTTTGATCATTTACGTATAATATACCACCTGTAGATTTGAGTTTAGATACACAGCATTGCTAATTATCTCCTCTTCATACTTTCTGTTCGTTTTTTTTTTCCTTCCTTCTCCTCACCCTTTTTCTGTCATTCATTTGGTTTGAATTTAATTGAACGAGCTCAGGTATCTCCCCCTACAAATGGACCGGCCGTGCTTCTTTTTAACATTACGCCAGGTTTTTCCAATCTGCATCTTCACACAGACTTAGCACAGTTTGCCCTCGTGTAGATCCTCCCCCTCCCTCTGTCTCAACTCCTGGCCCTCCACTGCACGGGGCCTGTGTCTACCACAAAGAGAGAGGACAGGACGGCGTCCGCTGTTTGCAGGACACTTTCAAACAGCTCCGGCCTGCTGTCGCAGAGTTCTAGCTGCCTCAGTTTCCCCCCTCATCCCAGTGTGCTGCTCCTCAGCTCCACGAGATCTCGAAACTTGCTCAGACTCCCCGCTCCCGGACCGTAGCCTTAGAAAGCGCTTCGGGCAGGAAGCCTGAGCGACCGCGGGCACCATCACCCGCTGTTTAACCCCACCTCCCCGGCTTAACGGCCCTGTACCGCTTGTTGTGCGGTAATTGAAAAACATCATTTCATCTATTTTTGTCCTGTTTTCTAGTTGTTTATGGCAGAAGGGAAAATTCTCACAGCCGTTAATCCTTCACGGACAGAAACGGAAGCCTTGTCTTTTATTATTACGGTTTGCCTTGACATTCCTTTTTTTTTTTTTTTAAATCTCACATCTTAGTAATAAAGAGTTGGGATTAGTTATAGATATCTCCGCGGTCTTTGGCCTGGGATCCACATTTAAACAAGCGGCATTTGCGAAGGGAAGGCTGACGGGGGGTAGAAGGCCCGGGCCAGCCACAGGCTGAGTGGATGGCCCTGTGCACATGCTCCGTCAGCGCCCACTGCTGCCCTGGGTGTTTTCCTGTGAGCACTTGACGCGTCTCATTCCCCGAGCCTAGACTGCAGAGCGAGACTGAGCTGGGTATCAGGAGCACTGCTTCTCTTCGCTTCCTGATCCATGGGAAGCTTCTGAGGCGACATGTTTTGCTCACTACCTTATTCCCAGTGCCTACCATATAGTAAGTGCTCAGTGAATATGTATTGAATGAGTTGGCCAGGTAATGTGATTTTCATTATACAGATGAGTAAATTATGACTCGGAGAGGGCAAACAGCTGCCTGGGGTCATACGACTAATAAATTCCTGATCTAGGAGCCTCTCAACTGAACGCGCACCTCTCTCCGGCAGGCCACTGGCTATGTGTCCCTGCTCCCTGGCCTCTGGCCTGGTGGAGATGGGCTGTCTTCTTCTGATGACTTTATCTGGAGAGAAAGTCTTCCATTTCCAGTCTTTCGTATAGATATAAATTGGCATTATAGTTTAAACTGTTAAAAAAAAAAAAACCCTGCAGGATAAAATTAACTATTTGGAATTTTACTTAGGAAAAATTACTTAGAACATTGAGAGCCCGCCAAGCTACCAAGAGTAACCCGCACACACGGCAGAGCCTGGCAAGCTGCCCATGGCGTATACAAAATGCCAAAAACAATAACAACAAGTCTCACAACGGAGACGTTACTGGTGCCTGCGGGAGCAAATCGATGAACAACGGGAGGACAGTGCTACGGTGCTATTGAGAGTTACCACTTGGGTTTCTCTTTGCTGCAACGATAAAGTTGCAAAGAGGCATGTATAAGTTTTCCTTGGGTTATAAGCAGATTTCAG